GGGAGGGAGGGAGGAAGGGTTTATCATAGTGAGTGAGTGGGTGATTGAGTGGGGCTTGGTCAGCGTAGTACCCCATTTCTTGTTTTGTTCTCGAAAGGAGAAGCCCCCTAATATAGTGATTCCGTGAGTGACGGTTTTGACCTTTTTTTTTTTTTTTTTTTTTTTTTTGACCTAATAGTAAGTGAGTAAGGATTTTTTGAATTTTCTCAGGACCGTTGTTTTGAATCTTTCCCTCACTTTTTTCTTTTGGTTTCTGAACTTTCTGTACTTTTTCTTTGTGTTTTGGGCCCAACCCCAACGTGCCAGGCCTGGAACCTTATGGAACTTGATGGGAACCATGAAGTCCCGTGATCTAATTGGGGGGACTCCCGTTTCTGTTGCAGCAGTTGGTTAAGTGTTTAAAGACATGTGGCGAGCAGGATTGTGTGTACATCTTTTGTTATATGAACTTATATCTTTTTTATGATTAATAAACACCTGCCAATCCTTTTTTGTTTTATCACTCAAACACTCTCCTTCTTCATAAAAGATATAACATACGGTTCCAGGACTGGAACCGTATGGAACTTGATGGGAACCATGAAGTCCCGTGATCCTTTTGATGGGAAGGAGAACAAGAAGAAGAGAAGAGAGAAGAGAGTGTGTTTGAGTGCCAGCTTTTTCAGGACGAACCTTTTGCATGCTGATCATCGCCTGATTAGCAATAAGCATATAAGAGGTGTTCTTCTTCTGGCGAGGAACTGCCCTGCCGTGAGAGAAAGGACTCTACCCCTCCTTGCCCCCCTTGCTGTTGTTTTTCCATGCCTTTTTTCAGAGTCTGTCAGTCTGACCTAATCTTCCCTTGATGGGAAACACTTCGTTCATCCGCCCACACAACCTCTAAAACAAGGACATCATGCCATTGAACGCTCCCCCCTCTACCCCCTCCCCCCCCCCCCCCCCCCTCTTTTTCTTTTCATAATGGCCTCTTCTGTTTGTGCTAATGGATCCTTTAGTATGGTTTTCGTCCGTCCTCCTTGCTGCGTCTCAGATGCCTCCTTGTTGGTCCCTGTGGGCGATTTTCTCCTTTTTTTTGAGCGCCGTCATTGAAAAGCAGCAGGTCACTTGTGAGCTTTAGAAGAAGACCTTTGATTTGATGACATGTCGAAAGCTACCGGCGTCACCCGAATAGAACGCACGGTCATTATGGCTGTATTTGAGGCAACTTTCAGTCTAGATACAGCGATAAAGACCGGGCGTTCTATTCAGGTGAAGACGGTAGTTTTCTTGCACGTATTGGGCTTCGCTGCTCTAAGGTGTCATTAAAGAATACAGATCTTCTTGATGCGTGGCCCCACTTCTCAAGTTGTTAGTGGGTCAATCTGTTAATCCCCTTAAAAGGGCCTTAATTATGGGTGCCAAGGGCCCCAAGGGTGGAAACGAAAAAAAACTTTTCTTTTCAAGAAGAGATCAAAGATTTGGATAATCTTTTATATTTAATATACGACGTAGAAGGGAATCTTATGCCTCCTGGTAAGCTTCCAGAATGGTGGTTTATTCATGGATTTACTGTGAAACGCAAATTTAAAGAAAAAAAAAAAAGAGGATATTAAAAGAAAATTTCTAAGTGAGGAAAAGAAAGAAATAGAGCCTTCTTCAAGTTTTATTATGGATCAAATTGTCAAAAAGGATGATTTGAAAGGTTAAAAACGTTGGCCTACGGTTCCATCCTTCAACGCACAAATCCTTCGACAGACGCGCAGAATGAAGATTTTCAGCGTCGTCCGCTTGTTTCCAGAAAGATCGTCTTCTCCGACGATCATCTCCGGCAGTCGTCCCCGGCGGCCCAAGCCTCAAAAAGCCATAGCTGTACAATGCTGGTCTGGTTGTGTACACAGGATGATGGGCATTTGTGGTGTTCCTGAGACTGACTGTGGGGTTAGTACTGGTTGGCATTCTTCCCCGGCGGCCCAAGCCTCAAAGCTATGGCTGTACAGTGCTGGTCTGGTTGTGTACACAGGATGATGGACATTTGTGGTGTTCCTGAGACTGACCTTGGTTAATACTGATTACGACGAATGGTATCCACCCACCTATGTGATTACTGTGCGCAGTCTTGCCGAATGTGCCTCTACTGGTGGGGACCACTGGTTTTGCACCCTGTACTACCTCCGCCATTGCTACTGTGTTCGTCGGCCACGTTGCCAAACTTCGTGGTGGGGACCACTTCGTGGCGGAAACCTTCCTGAGAACATCATGCATTATCTCTTCACATGACAGTCATTTCCTTTCGGCGTTTTGAGTGGGCCTCTTTCCCCTTTTTGGCACGATGCTCAGCTTCAGCATTGGTCTCCACCCCCCAAAGAGGTGGGAATACATACAGAGGAGGAGGAGGTGGTGGACGAGGTACTAGCCTCCCAAAGAATGCTTTCGAAGCACCCTCATCCTCATCAAAAAGGGGGGGACCACTCACTACCACGTAGAAATGGTGGGTCAAGACTCCGTAACAGTTCTTTTCTTCAGTTATTCGTATGACCTGCAAACCTCAAGAAGTAGGGAAAATTGCATCTGTACCCCTCTTAAAGATGGGAATACCAGCGGCTATACCCAGTCCCAGCGCCAACTTGCGCTATGAACCTCAGAAATTTCAACTCAAAAATTCAACATGCAAATTGAGAGCATCTTTTTCAGATAAAGCTCGCACAAGCTGCACATGGGGCCTTTGAAAAAAAAAAAAGAAAAAAAAAAAAGAAGAAAAAAGAAGAAAAAAAAAGAGCTATGGCCATGAAAAGTTCAAATTCGAAGTTCCACTCAAGCGCAATAATATATACAATTGAAAAAGTTCGGGATTGAGCGGTCTGCACCGCCGTAACACATTTCCGGTAAGTACCCGACTCTTCCCCCGTCAATCTGCTCTCTTCTTCCCACTTTCTTACTCTCTCTCTCTCTCTCTCTCTCTCTCTCGCGCGCGCGCGCGCGTGTCTGCTCTGTACTGTTCATCCGTCGATGCTCTCCGCAACTGTTCCTCCCTCTACAATGTCCCAGATCTACCCTGAATGCCTCTGCGGCGTGTCTCCTAGCATACAGGCGGTTATGGCCGCCCAAACACTTCGTCTCCTCCCTCCTGGCTACGGTGGTCTGTCGCAGCCAGGGTGCTGGTCTTCTTCCTCCCTTCAGCGTTCTTCTTTGTCCAGGTCGCTAGTCTGCACAAGCTCCAGCAGCGCTTCCACAAATTTGCGAAATGAACAACCAACTGTCCTCCGGCACTGTATCCCAAAATGTATAGTTGCAGTGGGCTGTGTGTGCCTGCTTCTTCAATCGGTGCCGGCCTCCTTCGGCCTCTGCCAAGTTGATATTTTAGGAAAGTTCCCGACTTTCTGGTGAGGCTGCTGCAAAACTGGACTTTGGGGAACTCGACGTGGTCCTACAGGTGCTGTACGCAGTGTACGATACTGAAGACTGCTGGCCTGCTACGCGTGATCCTACAGGCCCTACGGTTGTAATCTACGGGGCCTCGGACTGGGATAATCCAGGACTCTGTAACCGGGACTGGGAAAGCTTGCAGCATGAATCCATTCACTTGCGTCTATACCCAGAAAAAGGCACGGCATGGCTGGTGGAAATTGTTTGCATGCCCAGGACCGAGGTGGGCCCAGGTTGGTACCGCAAAATTGCTGTTATAACCAACTACCGGAATGCACAAATTATGGACATACCCAGGCAAAATTATGGGCATACCTGGGACCTGAGGAGGAGAGGCCAAATTGTTCGTATACTCTGCTACCCCGGATGGCTGAAATTATGCTCCTACCCAGCAGCCGTTGGGCAACAACGGTCTACTTGGTGGGCATGAGCATAATTCTGTGCTCTGAATCCAGGGCCTGCGGGATTGGGTAAACCTACAATTTGGATGCCCAGCAGGTATTCCCATCTTTAAGAGGGGTACAGTTGCGATTTTCCCAAAGAAGTAAGGATGGGAAAAAGGGAAAGGAACAGGAAATCCTACAGGTATTCCCATCTTTATGAGGGGTACAGTTGCAATTTTCCCAAAGAAGTAAGGATGGGAAAAGGGAAAGGAAAAAGGAAATCCTACAGGTAGGTTGGACTGCTTTCCGATGACAAGTTCTTTTCGAAATGGATGATGTCCGTTTGTGAAATGCCCAAGCAGATGCACACGTTACCCTCTCCATTTCTTCTTTCATTTTTTGTCTTTTCTTTTTTCCTTTTCCTTCTTTCTTACGCAGGGGCCGTGATACTCTTCTTCTCTGTATCGTTCCAATTTTAACAGATGTCTCGAAGGATTCTTGAACGAAATCATGCTTCGGTTGGCAATGACTACCGTCTTCCAGTGAATACAACCTACGGTAATTATAGCTGTATTTGGGGTATCTTTCAGTCTGAATACAGTTAGTATGAGGACCGTACGACATCCGTTAAAATTGGAACGATACAGAGAAGATTAGCATGAATTAGAAAAAAAAAGAAGAAAAAAAAGTGTATGAGGACCGTACGTTGTATTCGGGGGAAGAAGGTAGGCAATGACTAAAAGGAAGGGAGGAACAAAGCAGGTGGTTGTAGTGTTTCTGAAGTGAGCTTGTGTGTCTGTGCTTTTTTTGAGTTCAGATATGGCGAGATGGTGGATGTCAATCTTGTGCGCGACAGAGACACGGGGAAGTCGAGAGGGTTTGCCTTTTTGGCATACGCCGATCAGCGTAGTACCGTTCTCGCCGTAGGTGGGTGTTGCTCCTGTGTTTCTTATACCCTTGTTTGCTTCTCTGATTGCTTCCTTCAGGTTCAATTACCTCAATACAAAAATCATCACAACTACTGTAACAGTTATTCCATTAGAAATATAAATAAATATCGAGCTCCGAACATCATGGTATTTATGGTTTACATGATTCGAGTCTTTTTCTCTGTTGACGCTTTGCTGCTGTTCAGCACACTTGCTTGCTCTCCATTACTTCAGTCCCTCTCCTGGGCAGAGTCCGAAGCTGTTACCCCTAACCTGGGCCAGATCCTTCCAAGCATAATGTTATTCACTCCTGGACCCCCTCACCTTCCACCCCTACCATCTGTTTGGAATAACCCTTCCCCTTTCCCCCTACACC